CCTGCTCCGTAGGCCGCTCCAGTTCGAGGTCGTCGGCCGCCTTGTTCTTTCCCTTAAGGGCGGCAACATAACACTTGCGGGACTCAAGCTGGTCGCCCCGCGCTACCCCCACACCGAAGTCGGTAGGGAACTTCATCGCCAGATAGTAGGTGGAGACCACTGCTCGCAGAATATGCATAAATGGCCGTCCTATTATGGCATTGTATGGGGAGGGGGTCGCGACTACCAGGAAATCGTGGTTGAATCTGACTGCACAGGGCCATGTGCCGACTTCCACAGGTACTGTTATCTTCCCGAGGGGCCTGACTTCCTCTCCGCTGAAGCCTACTAGAGGGGTATTTGAGGGCTTTAGCTCGTGTCTCTGCAACTGTAGCTGCTCAAATGCTGACTTGAAGAGGATGTCTGCTGAGCTTTCCGAATCCACAAGCACGCGCTTGACTTCGAAGTCGCTGATCCTTAGTTTTATGACGAGCACGTCATCGTGAGGGTAGTGGACACCTCGCACATCGTCTTCCGTGAAGAAGATCGGTTCTTCCGTTTTTGGCCTCTTTGGAGGGTTCTGTTATTCTCGGGCTGCCTCACGAACTGACGTCTGGGCTGTTGCCGAAGTACATCCTGCCACCACCGAACCTCCCACTATCACATGGATGGTTCCTTGGACTGGCCTTTCTTCCGGAGGCTGTCGTAGCAACGCTTCGACTGGTTTGCCGCTGGATTCAGGGATATCCTTTCCGTGCTCCCATGTCGACCTGTCTTATTATTATTATCATACTGTACAAAATTTCTCAAGTATCCGCGACGGATGAGTCCCTTTATCTCGTCTCAGAGATTATTACACTGTTCGGTGCTATGACCGTGATGTTTGTGAAAACTACAATATAGATTTTTATTCCTCTCGTTTGGATTCCCCTTTAGACGAGGTGGCCACTTCACGTATGGGGCGTCCTTGATCGTCATCAAGATCTCAGTCCGCCTCGTGTTTAATGACGTGTAATCCGTCCAAACTGCTGAGGGAGCTCGGGACGACTGTCTCGGCTTCGCCTCTCGGGCTGGGTTTCTCCTGTCACTTGGGTTGGTGGGCTCACCTTCTCTTTTCCTTTTATCGACCCCGGCTTTGGTCCTTTGGTGATTTCTTCCTCTGTTCTCATGAACTTGTCCGCGAGTTTGAGGAATTCGGCCAYGGTCGCGGGCTGGCTGGCTACCATGTGCCATTTGAATTCTTTGTGCATTACTCCTCTCTTGGCCGCGGTGAGCTGTACTGCGGGGTCTAATCGCGGTATTTGTAAGCATGCTTCATTGAACCGCTTGATGTAGCCCCGGATGGATTCTCCTTCTCTCTGGACTACCCCGAAGATGCTTTCCTCCGTTCTGGGGCACCGCTTGCTGGTAACTTAGTGTGCTGTGAAGACCTGCACGAACTGGGTCCAGCTTCTTATTGACCTTGGGGCTAGGTTCCTGTACCAGGTGCGGGCCACCCCCCTGAAGGTGGTGGTGAAGGCTACGCACATGCATGATTCGCTGGCCCTAGCGAGGTGCATTTGGGACTGGAAAGCATCGACGTGGTCGTTGGGGTCAAAGGACCCATCATACTTGTCCAAAGGTGGGAGCTTAAAGTCTCTGGGCATGGGGACTGCCAGGAGTTCTGATGTGAGGAGAGAAGGAACTGAGAGAATCGGGGCAGCTCTTACCTCGTCCGAGCTCGTCTCTTCCTTTCCTCTGAGCTTGGGCAAGATGCGGGTGGCAGTTCGGCGACTTTGCCGGCACCTTCGTTGAGTGGGCCTAGTACTAGCGCTGCTGGCCTCTGTGTTCCCGAGCTCGATGGGCCCGGAATTGGGGTAGTCTGCTACTAAGGCACTGAACCGGTTCTCCGTGAGCGGGAACTCGGGCCTGGAGCGCCGAGGTGCTGACCTCGCGGGCGAGGTTCCTATTCCGCCTGCGAGCTGCGAGGCGGGGGTGATTTTCCTTTCCCTTCGGCCTGGAGATGAGGCTTGACTGTTAGGGGGGTTTTGGAGCTGGGAGATTTCTCCCCGGTGAGGGCGTCCACCTTGAGGGGAGGCCTTAACCTGCTTCGGGGCTGGGTGCCTAGGTGGAAGCAGTGACTGGTTCAAGGGTAGTTGGGGGAACTGCTGTTGATAATGATG